TCTGCGCAATCTCACAAAATTGCAAATATCTCTCTACTCCGATGTCGTATCGATGAACGGTTTAATGATTTAAAAACTAGACTCGTAGATATTCAATTTGATATGTGGATCATCCCGTAATTCCAAGTATATTGGGAGAAAAGGTCCGCTACATTTGACCTAGTTTTGAGCACATTTATGAATGTAACTTGTGATGACCTTTGCCAACTTTTGTTTCACAACTCGCTTGACTTCAAAACATAACAAACGTCTATCATAAGCCTAAAATAAATGATAACATAACCTCCTTATTACGTTAAGAACCCTAGTCTCACCCCAAATTGCATGTTATAACATTCCAAACTTATCGATTTTCGACGAAACTTATTTTTCGTTTAGCTTCTAGGCTTTCCAACCCTCTTGGTACTTGTTATCCATGATCTTAAAGATTTGTAACCTCCACGGTAACATTATTAACTTACTTTATAGAATTTTCAAAGATGATTTCATTTATGAGCTTACATCAATTGACTTACGATGTACTCTTACGTACGAAAACATGGGGTGTAACACTACCATCACTGGCTCATCGGACTAGCTTGTGGCGGTAGAAGGCTGAATTTTCTTCTTTGGGTTGGTCGGATCCATCAGTGAATACCAGTCAAAGGGCTTCTTCGGCTTGACCTTGTTGTCAAAATATCTCAGCTTTACCTTTGCATCGGTGAGGTACTATGTGATAGTGTTGGGATAAGGGTAGGCAGAGCTATCCCGCCGTGCTATCAAGGAAATGTTGGCCGACATCACGGCACCCATATTGATTGGTTACTCGGCCATGATGGAAGCCACAATAACAACCTGAGGAATAGGAAGATGAGTCTCGTTCTGTCACGGATCCAGCCTGCTACAAACAAAAGTCTGCCACCCCTTCGCCTCAAAGTTCAATGTGTTCCGCTGAATGGGAACCCCAGCGATAATCCATGGTGGTGGTGGCCATGGTGGTACTAAGATCTCAGCCTGCCAAGGTTGGACTTCCTTCTTCATTGCACATTTCTCCAGATACTCATTTGGCTCAATATCCTCAAAATCCAAGTACGCGTTTAGTGTATGCTGATCAAACCTCACCTTGAGGTTGCGCACTTTGGTCACCTTCGTCCCCTTCTTTATATGAGCAACATTAGCATAGAACTCTCAGACGAGGTATTCTTTGGCATCTTTCACTCTCTCAGTGAACTATATCCAACCCTTTCGTGCTCTGAATTGCCTCAAGATCGCAGAGTTTTATGTCTCCAAATCTTTCAATAGAAACTGTCTCTCAAGAGTCAACAACCTCACTGGCCACCACATACGAAAATCAGTGAAGGCGGCCAAGCTAACAAATCTATCTTCCCAGACCTTCTTCTTCTTTTATCTCTCCACACTTGTGGTTGTGCCATCTCCCCCTCTACCATCATCTGGGATCTCCTTTATAGTATGTGCCTCTGTGACTGGTGTAGCTAATGGCTCAGAAGCCTGGCTAGTACTCTCCGACCCCTCGGAGGTGCTGTGAGATGAAGAAGGCTCATCCTTGAGCTGGTATCTCCCCTGCATCCTCGATTGTATGGCTGCATGCTCCTCCTGAACAGAGGCTGAGTTGCCCTCTGACACTTCCCTAGACGGGACATAGGATTTAGACTCGGAGAGGTATGCACCTCTCCCTCTGTAGTTGTGGTTTCTTCCTGATGGTCTTAGGATGGACAAGGGGCAAGGTACCTCTACCTCGACCCCAAGAAGATTCCACCTCTTCCCTTTGAAGTGTCGCCTCGGCCTCTTGATCGAACCATTGTCTGTATCAAAGTAAAGAAGATTGTTAGTTGCAATTCATTGTTCAACACATTCAGGACTTATGTAGGTAAGGGAGAAATAATTGGACACAGTGGGGTTATGAATATCACACATGTCTACAGGTAAAGGGGTTTGCGGTCCGCACATGGGAGTTGCAGTCCGCAGATATTTGTTGTGCGACCGCAGAAAGGAAGTGTGGTCCGCACATTTTAACTTGCGGGTGCATTTTAGACTATCAAAACTATTGAGTCTCTGATGACAGATAATGGGCTGATCCCTGCTGCACTAAATATCCCATTTTTCCAATCTGCGGACCGCATAAATTCAAATGCGGCCGCATATTTCAAAAAGTGAAGAACAATCATGTTTTGCTCAATTAGTTTTTTTTTTCAATTTCTCGCACAAATAGACATGGAAACATTGTAAAAACATAAAATTTTACTAACCCAACCCCATTAGACCATGTATTAAGTCTACCCAGTTCAGATCTACCCCACATGGACACATAATTGAGCTATAATAACAGATGGCCTTAAAAGAAGTAAAAATCTAAAAATTCAACTAACACAAAAATTTAACATGAGATTGAAGCATACCAGGTAGAGTGAGTGCAATGGGTGAATAATCAAGGTAGTTGTGTGTAAGGATAGTTAAAATCTCTCTAGAAAAATCAACAAAGCAACAGTGTTTTGTTCAGAGAGGGAAAAGTGTAAAATGAGACATATTCCTCTATTTATACCAACTATTTGAGAAGGGGAAAGAAGCGAGTGCGACCACATATTTTCATGTGCAGTCTGCACTCTGTCACCTAGTGGACTTATCTCAGAACCCAATGTGCGGCCTGCATATTTTCAGGTGCGGCCGCAGATTTCACGTGCGGTCGCAGATCGTCCTCCGCACTGATAAGCTCACACTTCAGAGAGTTGGTATTTTGACACTTCTTTAACATTTCAAATGTGTGGTCCGCAAGAGAAATGTGCGTCGCAATGCTCTTCTGCCATGGCGCATAGAAATGTACGATCCACACAAATAAAGTGCGGTCCGCACAATCTTGAACACTTGGCCATATTTTTATCCACCTTTCTTGTAAGTCACACTCATCCATGTAGCACACCTCAAATCAAGTTAGAACACAAATAACACCTAACTAAAAAAGAAAAAGAAAAAGAGCATGGGTTGCCTCTTAAGAAGCGCCTGATTTAACGTCGCGGCACGACGCAAAATACCCTCAAGTAAAGTAAATGACCGCCACCACGTAGCTATCTCCAACCTTGCCCAAGTAGTGCTTCACCCGATGACCATTGACTCGGAATACTTTATTGTTTTTGTTCTTCAAGTCTAATGCACCAAAAGGTGTCATACCAATAATTTTAAAAGGACCACTCCACTTGGATTTTAGCTCTCCGGGAAACATCCTCAACCTTGAGTTAAACAACAATACAAGATCGCTCACCTTGAACTCTTTGTTCCAAATATATTTGTCATGAAAATATTTCATCTTTTCTTTGTACAAGGACGAACTCGCATAAGCATGGTATAAGAACTCGTCCAATTCATTCAAATGCGCAACCCTCAAGTTAGCGGCTACATCCCAATCAAGATTCAACTTCTTTAGAGCCCACATTGCCTTGTGCTCTAATTCCACCGGAAGATGACAAGCTTTTTCGAACACCAACCGGTATCGCGACATTCTGATAGGTATTTTGTAAGCCGTCTGATAAGTCCATAATGCATCATCAAGCTTCTTGGACCAATTTGTCTGATTAGCATTCACCGTTTTAGACAAGATACTCTTTATCTCCCGGTTGGAGACTTTCACTTGCCCGCTAGCTTGTGGGTGATAGGGAGTCGTGATTTTGTGAGTAATACCATACTTGCTAAGTAAAGTATCAAAAGCCTTGTTGCAAAAGTATGATCTCTCATCGCTTATAATTGCACGTGGAGTACCAAACCTTGTGAAAATATTCTTCTTGAAAAAAGTCACTACACTTCTCGCCTCATTGTTGGGTAAAGCAATGACCTCAACCCATTTTGGACACATAATCCACCGCGACCAAGATGTATGTGTTTCCACAAGAACTCACAAAAGGGCCCATGAAGTCAATGCCCCACACATCGAAAATATCAATCTCCAAAATGGTTGTGAGGGGCGTTTTATTTTTCTTTAAAATTCCACCGGCCCGTTGACATTCATCACATTTTTTCACTAACTCACTAGCATCCTTGTAAAGAGTGGGCCAATAGAAACCGCAACTAAGCACTTTGGCCGCCATTCTTGCTCCACCATGATGACCACCATATGGCGAAGAATGACAAGCCCTAAGAATATCACCTTGCTGTTCTTTCGGTACACACCTCCTAATCACCCTATTCGTACAAATTCGGGAAAGGTATGGTTCATCCCAATAATAATCTTGACAATCCCTTTTGAGTTTCTTCCTTTGGCTTGAAGAGAACTCATATGGGATGATACCACACACAAGAAAATTTGCTAAGTCTGCGAACCACGGCAAATTGTCACAAAAACTTATAGTAAAATAAGAATAACAATGAAACATGGATGTTCACATTCATATTTTTCTAGGCCTTGGCGAATATTTTTTACAAGAATTATACAAATATAAATAAAATTAAAAATTCGAATTAGCCAACTTTTTTTAATAATAAAGTATTACTTCAAATAATAATCTACTTGAATTCAACAATTCACCTTCATATTTGGTACTGTTAAGGCACTAAAAGAAATAAATTTTCACTGCCGACATTTGTGGTCCACGCCTTGGCGAATTATTTTTACAAAAAATTATATGTAAAATAAAAATGATTCGGATTAGCCAGTATTTTCTATGAGAAAAGTAATACTTTAAAGAATAATTTACTTGGCTTCAACAACTCACTTTCATGTTTGTTACTATTAGAGCACTAGAAATAATTTTTCATGGTTGATATTTTTAGTCGCCACCAAAGATAGTGCTATTTATTTGTAATGGCGACCTACCTAAAATCTTTGTTACTATAGGGAAAAAAATATGACGACGATATGTGGCGACCTCTTTAGTTGCCAATAAAATTAGTGCTATATGTCGTTGTTTGAAAGCTTAGTCGTCACAAAATGATAATAATAAAATAATAATATTATTATTTTATTATTAACTTTTGTAGCGACTATATAGAACTATTTTTTCTGGCGGTTGAAGAAGTAGTCACAGATTGAAAACCTTATTTCATGTTGTGATTTCTTAGTTTTGAATCAACATTTAGAACATCAACTTGTCTTGATGCCATCTGCACCATTGTAATATCAATGGTTGAAGGATTAAAGCTTTTCTCAAGACTCAATTGTTTGTTCAATATTCTTGGTGGTGTACAAAACTTTAACTCATTATTTATTGTTTTACAAATAAATTTGACCCTTTCATTAAGCAAATGCCCCATCTTCATCCGATATTTTTGTAACATTGTCAAACAGAAATATCAATGGAAGTGAGGCCACTTCATTAGAGGCCTATAACTTTTCCAGCTTTAACAAGCAGTTTAACAAGAAGAAGATGATGCATATTGTCATATTGATATAGCAGTTTCTATAATCCTGTTCATTTCTTATTATTTATCTTTATGTGGATAATATGTGATAATTGGTATGATTTGTTTTTGGGGAAAAGTATTGCTACCTTTTTTGGTATTGAACCTGAAATATTTTCTGGTTTTGTTTTAAAGGAATATCAAGATTGTTCAACTATGTAAATTATTGGACTTTGTTTTATGATTTGCTGTTTTCGGCGTATATATAAGAGTTAGCTAAGGAGCGATGGTGCTGACTCGCCAAGAATTGAATATGAAGGTGACTCAAAAATTCTTTCAGGTTCAAATGTTTGAATTTTAGGCATGGCGTTCTATTTGCATCCCTGCCGAGGGTCTATTGGAAACAACTTCTTTACCTTCATGAAGTAGGTCTGCGTACAGATTACCCTCCCTAGACCCCACCCGTTGGAAATATACTGAGTCTGTTATTGTTGTTGTTCTATTTGCATCCTCTCGTCAGAATTTCTGGCTACGCTAATGCATGGAGCTTACTAGCAAAGAATTGACCGCGGAAGGAGAGGATGAAGGAGAGGAAACGGATAGAGAACTTACACAACACAATCATATTCAGGAAAATTCCTACATTTGCTCAAGTTTTTCGGGTGGTGTAAGACAAAAAGCGTATATGTTTGATGGAGAAGGGAATTATTTTGACAAGGAATGGGATTTATCAGAAGGAAGAGGCAAAGAATTTTGCTGGTATCATGTTGAGCTTCCAAAATGGAACCAAAAACTCTCACAATCTGCACAGTATCTTATAGATGTACTTTGCCCACCTTTGAATCTCCAAGACATTCTATCACTAGTTAGCAATGGACCCTTTTGCGCGCATGTTAATGGCGCTCTAGTTTTTCGGGTTAATTCACCTGGCCCTGCATCTAGCAACTTTACATTTCGAATCGCTGCAAGAGTTACTGAGAATTTGGTCATCACTGTGTCATTAGGCCGTATTCCAAGATTGTGTTTCTCCCCTGGAAATGAGTCTCTTTTATCGGAGATTCCTATAGTCGAAAGTCCAAATTATGATCCTCTTGAACAAAAGGAAAGGGGTGGGATTGTTATCAAGGAACATGTTCTTGATTTTCTATTGATGATGAATCATTTTAAGGAGGCTGATAATCCGGTCCCTAAATCCCTGTCAAATCTTGTCGTTCATATTATAGACACGCATGTTGATCACCTTCAAGATATTGTAACTAAGCTGGAAATTGAGTTGGATTCTGTTGAACTGGAATTAGACAAAGGTACATTTTGATATAGATATTAAAGTAAGGAAAAAAGACTAGAGTTCCTATTGCTATTGCTGATTTTCTTATTTTGTAGTAACAGAAACAGACTAGTGTTTCTAAATTTCAGTATGCCAAGGGGATAGAAATTTTTTGCCTTGCTTCCTAATATTTGTTTGGTTGCAGGTGGTTTTGCTTTAAAGCAACAAATGTTGGATGACAGACGATTCCCAAAGGTGCATCTTGACTCGCAGCGCCTCCTCCAGGTAGTTTCTTTAGTCCTGACTCCCCAAAATACTGCCTCACCCGTGTCGGATTCTCCAAAAATACACGGAGAATCCAACACGCACCCGACGATATTTTCCGAGAGTCCGAGCAACATAGGACATAGTTACTATGAAAGCAATAATACTACTTCAGTTTATAAAAACCAAGAGGATGTGTTTACTCTAGACTCTAGACATATGTTTTCATTTTATTAGTTAATGTTATTGTAGGTGATTGCATATGGGGAGCAAGTAATTCCAAGAGTGAAGGAGAAGTGTTCTTCAAAAGATTGGTTTGCTAGTGATGATCTTAACATCCTTGAAGAGATAATTGGTCAACTGAGAAGTTTAAAAGAGAATGTTGGGTTTATAGCAAATAGAGTTACAGGAATACAGACTGGTCTTGAAAGTTGGCAAGCTGACCAAATAACTAGAAAACTATACTACCTTTCTTTCCTCTCCATCATGTTTCTCCCCTTGTCAGTAGTAACTGGAGGTAATTTTCTTAAGTAACTTTTGTCATTAATTTCACATCATGTTAGAGTTTAAACGGAGCCTTGGTACAACGGTAAGAGCTGTAGCAGTAAAATCAAGAGGTCACGACTTCACGTGTGAAAATAGCCTCTTGCGAAATTGCAAGATACGACGGCTTATAGTAGCAACCCAATGCGCTCCGGTCAGTGGCGGAAGTAGGTAGTGTCAAGGGGGTTCAACCCCTTTCGTCGGAAAACTACATTGTGCAAATAGAGTAAAAATGATCTTTCTTTGTTATATGTAAGCTGTTGAATCCCTTTTGACATAAAGAAAAATTCAAATATAGTACTAGTAAAGGAGGTTCAAAATTGCTTTTAGGTCATAGTTCAAATTCCAAGTGTGACATCCTAGAATTTTCTTGAATCCCTTAGTATAAATTTCTGGTTCCGTCACACACATAGCAGGAACTTAGTGGACAGTGGTGTCCTTTTTCCATTTGAAGCATTATATGTGCATGTATCTGATGTCACTACTCACTAGCATTATCTGGTTTATGACAGTGTTTGGGATGAATGTGGGAGGAGTTCCTTGGACAAACCAAAATGAACCTGAGCTGAAGGAGGGGTTCCACAATGTAATGTTGCTATGTGTGGCTCTAATACTGTTGGTCCTCTTGTGCTTCCTTTTCCCAGTTTTTTATGCTTCTTTTGTGACTTGGAAGAGAAGAAGAGACATGAAAAGAAGTTGGTCTCTCAACCAAAAATCCTTCCTTAGAAGAACTACAAGTAGTAGTAGGGAAAGAAATGATAAGGGAGGTTACCAGCAGTTGTATTGAAAAGGGATAGGAAACAAATTGCCGTTACTCTCTCCAAAAGGTAACGGAAGCAAGCAAAGGTTATCTCAAGCGGGACGGAAGTTGGCCTTCAAGTGCAAAAGCGGGAGTTTGACTGCAAAACCCATCAATCGAGCAAGGGCGAGAGTCGGCAAATCAATGTTCTATTAATTTCTTTCATTTAGTTTTAGATATTAGATTGATGAATAGGTCCAATAAAACACTTAAAAGTATGCTTGTTTCAGTATATTTCGAAATTGTAAAACTTGTATTAGCAAAGTTCTGCCTATCAAGTTAGTTAATTAGTTAGAGATTGATGTTAGACCATTATTATTAGTAGGGGTGTACAGGGACCGGGTTGGTTCGATTTTTATCAAAATCAAACCAAATCAATTATATCGGTTTGGATTGGTTCGATTTTGTCAGGTTTTTGGATTTTTTGTTACTTAAATAGTATTTCAATCTTACTTTGTTAAATATTTGATAAGTAAATATATATTTAGTAAAAAAATAAAAAAAATGACAAACATATTATCGATTAAAATATTCTTATGGGAGAATTCTATTAGTAACACATAATAGTTATTTTTTAGTCGTCTAACAATAATTTTTTGTTGATGTACACTTTCAGGTTAACCGAATTTAGTAATTAAACATAAAAATCAATATGATACCTAAATATTAATAATCACTTCACATTCGAAAAAGATATAAGAATTTAATAGATCTTTACATATGATATGAATATGGAAGAACAAAGAGATAGACACATTTCAGTAACACTTGATAAGAAAGTGATCATACAACACAGTATTTAAGGTCAATAAATATGAAGCAATTCATATTCTATTAAATTTTATATCCCGCAAGAGAATCCCAAATATATCTAGACATTTTTTTAAAAAAATTCTATATAAAATCTTAAACGTATATATAAAAATTATATATTTATATGTCGGGTTGGTTCAATTTTTTTTACTCAATACCAAACTAAATCAAACCAAACATAATCGAGTTTTTTAATCGATTTGGTTTGACTTTTCGATTTGGTGCGATTTTTCGGTTCGATTTGTACACCCCTAATTATTAGTGGATTATAATAACTCGTTCATTTCATTACACTTAATTGATCTTTCTTTGTCCTTTTTCTTGTTAACTTTTTAAAGCCTGTTAGAATAAGACAAGTTCAAATATAATTGTATAAAATATGCTCTAGAGATTTATCTACTCCTTAACCGAGAGAATAAATTAACATTGGAGTACAACTATCACTACTAATTTTTATATTTACATTAAATCATATTAATATATTATAACTAATTACTCTCTCCGTCTTAACTTATACGATTTAGTTTTACTTGACACAAAATTAAAAAAAATGACTTTTGAAATATGTGGTACTAAAAACTTAAAAGACAAAAACTTTGTGAGCCATAATATTTATGTGTCTATAAAAGCTTATCACTAAAGATAAAATAGGTAAAATAAAAAGTTTAAAGTTAAATTATTTTTAAATATAGAAATGTATCATTATTTTTTAAACTAACTAATAAGAAAAGTGTGTAATTTAAATTGAGAGTAAAACGATAAATTAGTTGATCATATTTAAGCGAAACAATGCAATAAAAAAAGGAAAAAGAAAAGGAAAGGAGGCGAGATCACATACGTCTAGAACTTTCTGACCCGGTAGTTTAATTTAATGGTACACCGCCACGTTACCTTACTTTCCCCTTCTCCAAGCCACTACTAGTAGAATAGAATAATCCCTTTTTCTTTCTCTAAAACCCTAAACCCTAGCAACAAACAGCCTCCATTTACAGTAGCTGCAATCAAGCAAGCTCAATTTGTCTCCTTACTGTATTCTCCTATGGCGACCGCCGTATTGCTCAGATCTCTTCGTCGCCGTGAAATTGCTACCTCTTCTCGTTCTGCTTATAAAACTGTATGTAAAGTCTCCCTCTTACTTATCCTTCAATTATTTTCACAACTGTTATCTGTTTCATCTTTACTCTTCTCAATATTTTGTGATTTGAGGTCAGATTGTGTTGTTAGTAAAAAAACAAAACTGGATTATGATGTTAAATTCTGGAATTGAACTTCACTAAGGTGCTAATTTGTTAGTGGAAACCTAGTTTAATATTACATTTGAAATGCTGACCAACTTAGGAGTTCAATATTTGCAAATACTGAAATAGTATGCGCAGATGGGCCTTAAGTGTTTGTTGTTTATATTTGTTTTTGGTCATTACTTTTGTTGTTGGACAGTGATTGTATGTTTGTATAAGGATAAGCGTTGGGCTTAGAAAAAAATGTAGTTTTAAAGAAGTGATAATCTACTGTAAAAGAAAAATGATATGACTTATAAAATGAAATGGCCACTGATTGCTGGATTTATATATTTGATATCAACTAGTTTGGAATTGGGGGATAGTTAATTGAAGATACTTCTGAGAGGGAGACAGAGCCTTTACTTTTGTGATGGGTATTGTGTGTTGTGTTAGGACATTGCCCACTCTGAGTGGGATTGTGAAATTTAGGACAGGTTGCTATCAGGGGAGGAAGATGTGTTTGTAACTCCTAATGCATTTTCCTTAAGTGGGTGGAAGTCTATCACTTTATTTGTTAAGATAGACATGGAGTGAAGTTCTTTTTAGTTCATCTGGTATGTGCTTACGTGGAGTTCTGCTATGCCGGCTTCGGTGACTGGTGACATTCAGAAATATATATTTTTGGCAGTTAGTGGTTTTCTCGTGTGAGAACTTTGCTGTTTTTTTGTCCTTGTCCTAAAATCAAGATGAGAACATTTTTGTTAAAAAAATAACTTTTGCTTATGTCGGTGCTATGTATGGCTTGTGCAGCTTGCTTCAAACATTAAGCCGTCATGGTGTCCAACACTTGGTGGTGCTAAATTGGCTGGTCTAGCCAGACCGTTTTGGTAACTGCCTTAAGTCTCATATCTTTCAACTTTATTTTAAGATGAATGATATTTACTTTTCTACTGGAACTCATCTTTCATATGGTGCAGCTCTAGACCTGCTGGAAATGAGATTATTGGGATTGACTTGGGTACCACAAACTCCTGTGTTGCAGTGATGGAGGGCAAGGTAAGAGTTTGGTTCGTTGGCCTAGGGTAAAATTGTTCTTTTAACTCCTGAGACCGAGCTAGTATATGGTGGATTTGGAACATCTTTTGATGCTTTTATTCATGCAGAACCCAAAAGTGATTGAAAATGCCGAAGGGTCTAGGACCACTCCGTCAGTGGTTGCATTTAACCAAAAGGCGGAATTGCTTGTTGGTACTCCGGCCAAACGTCAGGCAGTCACCAATCCTACAAATACCGTATTTGGGACCAAGCGTCTAATTGGTAGGCGGTTTGATGATCCCCAGACACAGAAGGAAATGAAGATGGTTCCTTACAAAATTGTGAGGGCTTCCAATGGAGATGCTTGGGTTGAATCCAATGGACAGCAGTATTCCCCAAGTCAGGTTGGAGCATTTGTTTTAACAAAGATGAAGGAAACTGCAGAAGCCTATCTAGGGAAGTCTATAAATAAAGCCGTGATCACTGTTCCAGCTTATTTCAATGATGCTCAAAGGCAGGCAACCAAGGATGCGGGGCGAATTGCAGGCCTTGATGTGCAAAGGATTATTAATGAGCCTACTGCAGCGGCACTTTCTTATGGTATGAACAACAAAGAAGGTCTTGTTGCAGTCTTTGATCTTGGTGGTGGCACCTTTGATGTTTCTATTTTGGAAATATCAAATGGCGTTTTCGAGGTAAATGAAGCAGTTTTGTGTTCTCTTATGTTGTTCATCTTGTTGTTTTTTAGGACTCCTCTAACTATATACCACTCAGGTCAAAGCAACAAATGGGGACACCTTTTTGGGAGGAGAGGACTTTGACAATACATTGTTGGAATTTTTGGTGAACGAGTATAAAAGGACAGACGGAATTGACCTGTCAAAAGACAGGCTTGCCCTGCAAAGACTTCGAGAGGCAGCTGAGAAAGCTAAGATAGAGCTATCATCAACCTCGCAAACTGAAATTAATTTACCTTTCATCACAGCTGATGCATCAGGAGCTAAACATCTTAATATAACTCTAACTAGATCAAAATTTGAGAATTTGGTGAACAGTTTGATTGAGAGGACAAGGGATCCTTGCAAGAATTGTTTGAAGGATGCTGCAATATCGACAAAAGATGTGGATGAGGTCCTCCTTGTTGGTGGTATGACTCGTGTCCCTAAAGT